TCGCGGGGCTGAAGTGGGCGTTGCTGCGTACGCCGTTTGGAAATGAGCGCTTTTGGTGGGACAACTTCTTGTTCCGAACAGAAATGTGCCGCGGAAAATGGCATCTCAAACCATGTTCACATGATGCAAGCCCTCCCCAGTGTATTTCTCAATGATCCCGCGATCTTTGGTGTCGCAGACTGGGGCAGCCTTGAACGTAGTGGGCACCATAATTTGGTCCCGGGTAGGAAACAGAAGCAAAGAGGAGTGAAGCAAAAGCGTGATCATACTTCACTTTTGCAGCGACATGTATATAGTGTGTATTCTCATTGAGTAGCAGTACCAAATGAAATGTCGTACATGAGTTTCACTGAAAGTTCCTTCTGAACGTTCTTAAGTCTCAATCATATTCAGAAGTTCTCATTTCCCGAAGAAAAGCGCTGTATGATCAAAAGACGTTTGTTATGGAACGAGAGCCGGTTCAGAAGAAGAAGAAGCCACTCCTAAGAAAACGGTGAGAATAAACTCCAACATTTATAACAGCCCTGAAGTAACAGTGAAAACTTTCAGCTTCGCTCGATCCATAAGGTCTAAAGAATCCTATCATCTATTGTCGGAGAAAGGTGATTCTTTCATTGAAAGGCTCTCTCATCATCTACGGAGAACAGCTGCTTTGCTGAGAGGGGAACAGTCAACGCCCCTTCGAGGGTACGTGTTCCAGCACGACTCTTAGGTCTTCAGAACTAAAGTTTCCATGAAAAATTTTCAGGTGGAGGTCTCTAGCAAAAGAACTGATGCATCGCCGTGATCAAATGGAAAAACAGGACCTGTTTGTATCCATGGGTGTCAAGGTTAGTATATGCATTTCTGTACAAGTGATGATTTGATCGCACTGGCTTTAGGGTTAGGAATGAGGATTGCCCCTAATGGTTCGGCCACCCACCCCGCGTCAGCTAGAAACCCAGGCAATCCCACTTCTGAATCGAGAAGTGTGAACGCGTTATCCCCGTTTGGCATAATAAATCGGCACAGTCTTTACTTCATCTCCTTCGCGAATAGGACATCGTAAACTCGGGCTTTACTGGCCATTATCACCTTTGACTGTAATAACAGTGCCATATGTATAGCACCCGATCGATCATGTACAAGCCGTTTTCTCTCAATCGGTCCAGGGCAAATTGCTGTCGGTACCAGCCCTTCCCATCGAGTCATTCAGCCTTTGGGGCGTTTCAGTGGTGGTAGGAAAAAGAAACCTGCTGCGTCCAGAATCGACACCCCTAACTGGCACAGCGCCCCACTGATTTCAGCTATAACTACTGTGCTGGTGAGGTTTTCGTGGTCTAGCTTCTCACTCTTTGTATAAAACGGTATCTTCATTTTTTTGCCTTTGTTTACAGACGTAGTAATATCTTGTCACGAGCACCGTATGCCAGAACTGGAGATTCTACAAGGGTGGACAGTGAAATTCTCAGTCAGTTGAACGCATTTCTGGCACAAGGTTGGTTAATGTCTTGCAAATAGGAGCCAGTTATAGGAGTTGGTGAAAAGCTATTGAAACAGCATTTTCAGGGGTAAAGCTTGCAGCGGCTGCTACAGGAAATACCGTGGGTAACAAAACTGTTCGCTTGTTATCCCCGAGGATCGGCAACGCGAAACGTGACGCCGAAGAGGTAATAAGTTATCAGGCTTTGTTCAAGATCTTAGATGTTCAAAGTGTTCTTGTATTTTTTTTGTTTGGGAAGTAGGTCCGTCCTGCTTTGCGCCGTTCTTGGAAGCAGTACCGAAGTTATGGAAGCATAAAATAATCACTCAAAAAAATCACGTCATCAAACTCTCTCCTTAAGCGCGAAAACAGGTCTACAAATGAGATGAGGGGGAGAAGACCATCCATTGTCGCAAGCTGCCGTTTTTGGGGGAGTCCCCTCAGTTGGTGGTCGGAATATGTGAAGAAAAGCCTTCTCGTCTTGTTCTCCGCGAATGTTGGGACGTATCAGTGGGCATGGGTTTGGCGCAGCGCCAGCCCGTTCTCCACCAGTTGTCGAAGTGGGGCAAGCGAGAACAGCTGGTGGAAAACCAGCTGATGCTGCGTCAGGCTCTGCCCTCTGACACGTTTAGCATCTGCAGCGAAGAAAACTGTATACCTAGTAGAGAAAGATACTGTGCACCTGAGCGGGCACCACCTTCCTCATTCCCCAACGAAGGCGCTCTCAATCGCTGACCAGTGGCAATCTACAGCAAGTGTATGCTCCCCTCCCTGATTGAAGCTGTAGATGAGAGGTCTATTTCACCGCACTTGGCCGTTTCTTCCCCTTTTTGCTACACCTTCATACCACCTATCTCGTCCACTTCCGGACTGTACCTGGTCCTGATTTGTTTTCGGAAGGCAATACTCAGCTGAAACTAGCCAAATTATCCTACTACCGGGGTTTCAAGCAATAATTACTGACCAAACAAAACAAGAAAGAAAATAAAGCAATGAACATTGTTTCAGGTGTCGCTGTTATCTCCAGACCTGCCCCTATCCTTGGATCCGAATAATGAGCACTCTGAGAAAAACGCTCTGCTTGAACTGCTTTTGGAAGTGAGCGGAGCAACATCTGGGATGAGAAAAGCCCTGGTGGGGAAGTTATACAAGTTTTGGTTTTTCGCTTCCAACTTAGCCCTGCTTTTGATACTTGGAATACAGTAATTTCATGGCACGGTTATACAGGATCGCGCAAGATCTGAAACACCTCAGATGAGCAAAGATGATGTAGAAAAAACTATTGGTAAGAAAGAACGACAAAAGATCGAGGTTATTGAGGCGATGGAGAAAACCTATACAGCTGAGCAGGTGATTGATTTTCTTATACAAATTACTTGACTGTCGGATTGCCTGAATCGATCTGCTTGTCTGTCGTGTAAACGGCCCTTCAAATCAATTAGTGAGAAAGTCACGGGTAAGGAACGCTCACACACACAGGAGAGCAGTGAGGCTTCCAAATTCACCCTGTCGTGGTAGTAGCCCCTCCTCTCACACCCCATCGCCTTGGGGTAACAGAGTACCCGACGCAGGAAGTTTACGTTGAGAAAAGGCGATGCGCCTGTTGGGAGGATCTTTGAAGCTGATTGGGGGCATCGCTTTTCACTTCTATGTTTTGCGAAATCTTGCCCCATGGGTCGTTCTTACCGTCGAATTAAGCAGTTTGGGGGAGCAGCAAGGGATCAGCTATCAAACGCGCTCCCTTGGTAGTGATTGCTCCACAGCAACCGCTTCAGCCATATTCAGGTGAGATCCTTTTTGATGGCGCAGTTCGGCGACGGGTGGGCATCTTGCATTTTTGCCTCTTCCCATCGACGTGTCGAGCCATCTAGATAGCCATGTGAGAGTTGACAGGTTTCATCATGTGGATGGACAAACTTGCTCCAGATACTTAAGAGTGCACAGATTCTACCGAGTGAGACTTGTAAACCGGAACTAGTGCAGCTGCGGCAAAATGCCCCCCGTTGCCGAACAGTATCCTTTTGACTGTTGCTGTACCAACAGTTATGTAGTCTTGAGGGCAGTTGGCACGATAAATCCCCCAAGACGACTAGGATAAATACTCCTTGCAGGAGAATTCCGCGATCAAGTCAAGCGCTGCATAGCGATTTCCTCGTGCAAGGTGCCCTTCATAAGGGCCCTATAAAGCCACAACATTCCATCCCAAACGCCCGCCACGCCCGCCCGCCCACAAATGGACGACCGTTCCTGACGCTCGTATTCATTCATTTGCTAAGCAAATTATGAAGCGAAGGGATTGGTATGAAGCGGCCGTGATGCTGCATGCATACACTCCTTATCCCTGACACGGAGTAGGCGTGGCATTTGAAAATGACATACATTGGGCTACTCGTGAGACAACTTCAGTTTGAGGCAACTGTCATCCTGTTCCGTGTTGGCACAGCGAACTCAGAATCGACATACTTGCATCAATATTGCAAGAAATCACTCCAAATCAGCGAGCCAGCGCCACGTTCAGTTGAGGTTACGGCCCATCCGACGATCTCGAGGATTTCGAGTGTAACAGTGGGTACACATATACAGCCCTATCTTCGGTACTGGCAAGATGCCTACGGGAAACTCGTCCGATATCGATTTTCAAGTCACTGAGAACAGAGGCTTTTCTTCGCAGGATTTTGACCGTTTCATTCCGTTCTTTCGCCATTTCCCCACTATATAGCGCCTCCTAGCATTTTAGTGCCGGAGTAGAAACCACGGTGGCCAACTGCGCTTTAAGGACTGATAGCGAATCATACCGGAAGACAATCAGTGAAATCGTGAACCAACAAGAGTTCAATGGGAACATGCATACTATTATCACTTCGGTGAGATAACAGCCGTTCATATGAAGGGCCAAATCTTAGCCCTTGACAGATCAAACCCCGGCGATTTAAGCCGATTGAACTTGCTGTAGACCGAGCACGTCATCTGGCCACTGTATGTTAAAGGCAGGCTGGCACGAAATCCCTGCCACCGACGAGGCAGGATTCTATGCATACACGCTGGAAAAACGGAACCTCCGCGACCCTGAAGCAGTCGCGCGCTGAACTTTTTCCAAGGAAGGTGCCTTAAAGGCGCTAATCAAGCCACAACTTTACGTCCCAAACGCCCCCTTGCCCGCCCGCCCACAAATGGACGACTGTTCCAGACGCTCTAATTGATTCATTTGCTAAGCAAATTATGAAGCGAAGGCATTGGTATGAAGCGGTGATGCTGCATGGATATATGAGTACACATATGCAGCCGTACCTTCGGTAGCGGTTATTGGTAAGATGCCTTCGGGAAACTCGTCCAAAATTGATTACTAACACAGTGAGAACGAATTTTTTCGCAGGATTTTGACCGTTTCCGTTCTTTCGCCATTTCCCCACTATATAGCGCCCTACTAGCATTTTAGGCCGAGCACCAAATCATCGTGCCAACTGCCTTTAAGCCTTTATTGGTACCAGCTTCCCAGCTGAGTATCCGACAGCTCACCTAACCTGAACCTGTTTTCCAGATGGAATCGTTCAAAACGACTGGCTTTGCCTTCATGACGAGTCATCAACGTCACCTTGTCTATGGCAAAGCGTCGCCCTACCATGATGAAGGGTTCTTACGCAGAACCAGAGGGTTACGCAAGGATCAAATGGAAAGGAAGCTCATCAACATAATCCGTCTCCAAGCTATTGGGAAATCAGATTACAATCGACGAATGAAGATCGACCTCATAAATGCACCCACAGTAGGAGCGGTGTTTGTCAGTGAGTCTCATTTCAAGTAATGAACTTTGTTGTCTCAGAGACCACGCCTATTTTGGCAAGCACTAGCTCGTTGTGGTGGGCGTGGCTTCTTATTTGTCGCATTTGGCGAGCGTATTAGCCATCGATTTGAATCGATTTCACTGAATATTCTTTCAGATGCGCCACTGACCAACGTGAACTCCGTCTTCTCTCCTGTAGTGCTTTCCGCCTTTGTATCGTCTCCAACACTTGTCGGACCATTGATTCTATCTCCATGGCTATTTTCCGCTCTCATAACATCGCCCTGGGCACTGTGCCCGATCATTCTGTCCCGTTCGCATTTGTTCCCATCATTCTTTCTCCAGTAGCCATGTCTCCGTTTGTGCTATCACCTGGCATCTTTAGTCCGGCTATACTCAGCCCTCTCCTCATGGTACCGTATATCCTTTCGCCGGGTGTTTTCAACCCGATTATTCTATCACCACTTGTACTTACTCCGATGGTTTTGAGTCCACTCGCTGCTTCTCCTGTTATTCTTTCTCCTGCGTTGTTATCCCCTTTAGTACTTTCTCCCATGTATCATACAGCTTTCGTGCTCAGTCCTTCGCTACTCTCACCTCCTATCGCTTCTGATGGGGAAGGTGTGGCAATAATCCTGTCACCTGACTTGGGGATGCTCTAGCTTCGCTTTGCAACAGTTAACGACAAACTGTACACTCACCTCCGTAGGTTGTGGATGCCTCGACTCTCGCAGTGTGTGGCATGGGTCTGCTCCGCAATTGCACTAGCGCAACCGCCTTCTATTCTCAAATGTGCACGAAACATTATCAGGAAACTTGAGAGGAGTTTCATTTTTGATTCCAGGGCGGCCAATACTCTAGTGCTGATTTCAGTGCGTGTAGGGCGCTTGGTTCGGTGCCACTCCATACTCCGCCCGCGCTCCCGCATAGCCGGCCACACACCTTACCGTAAGCGAACGCTCTCCTCGTCTGCGTTCTTTCACTCTGGTTGTCTCCACCGCTACCTGCGATGGTGTCGCCTGGGAACCTTGTTTGACGCCGTACCTTGGCACGCGGCGGTAGTAGGACGGCGTCGGCATCAGTCAAGCCACTAACCTGTAACCCCTTTCGTGCATATTTTTGAGCGGGAGAAGGTGGCTGCCGCGAGTCTGCGGACCCAATTCACCTCGCACATGGCAACGATCATCCTTCCAGGTGAGTGTTCCGCCTGTCTATAACCACTGTGGAAAAAATTTATTGTATAGATGGGTTCTTGGGTTGGTCATGCTGTTTTCGGGGCGCGTCTCTGTGCTATTGGACTTCCCAGTCTTTGGCGAAGGCTGGCAGAACAGTGTCCTTACTAGTCTCAGAAACCCTTGCTGTAAGTAAATGTGTTAACTGCCTCTGAGTAACAGCCAGTCTGGATTCAGTTCACCAGGGCACATAATTTGAGGATCACGGATGAGTCGTGCAATCCCTTTTTAGGGGTTTTCGTGAAATTGATTCGATCCCGGCTTCTTCGTCCATCGACGTTCACGCATCTGTCAACAGGGGCGGAGAGCACGACGGGAGGGTGGATGGGGGATGTACACACTACACATGGAGCAGGAAAGTCACGAAAAATCAGTCAACCTACTTTGGAAGTGTCAGAGGGGAAGCACGACCCTCTCCCCTGTTGGGGAATCCCTAACAACGATGCGCCCCACACTTCACCCATTATAAGCAGTGGTCGACCCTGTAGGTCATACATTGGCTGGGAAAAATACATATCCCACTACAGGTTGATGAATAGGCAGTTTCGAACTTCTCTTCAGCTTTCTCTCCTCCCTCTCCTGTCTTTTCTCTCTTTCCTTCCCTTTCTTACATTTCTCTCTTCTCTCTATCTCTTTGTTCGCAATAGCTTATCTGCACCATTTTCACTTCATATTCACGATTTTTGAAATCAAATTCAATCCACTTCTCTATCGAACAGTTGACCAACCGCATCACACCAGACACCTCTTCAGACACCGCATCTTGGCTGCAACCACTTTTCGAAGGTTATTGCGAAATTTTAGGGGAAAATGTCTTTTTTTTCGAGTTCTCACCTTTCTTTCTCACATTTCACAATTTTTTTGCATGTACCACAGGGACATGAATTAACACCAATGGTATGAAAAGCCCTGAATGTGGTTTGAAAGTCGTGAATTTAAAACGAAAGTGGTA